TACTATTTCTGTGAAATCTCTACCCTTCTGATTTCAATCGTCACGCACAGATGCTGAAAGCCGTGGGTTAAATCTGTCTTTCATTTAAGATTTTCGAGAGAGTTTCTAACCGTTGATTTTAAGAACCTAACTCGAGGATCGCCACGCGTTTCTACCAGTTTTGGTAACCCGCTGGTTGTCTTTTTACACGGTCCTAGCCTTGAATAATATAAGATTACCACCGTATGAAAGCTTTCAAGCACATTTACAAACTCTGCTTGTTATGACCGGTTCACGTCCGGCGAAACATGTCATAAACTTTAAGGACTACACAATGCACTGAAATGACGCAGTCATCAGAGTCAGAGCTTCAATTGTCGTGTCCCATGACATTGTTGTTATCGTCCTCCCAGATCTTGGCGGTGTTCATGAGTGTGAGCTGACCGACGATTACTGTAAGAGGTATTTCCTTGTGGGACTTCTTCTACGAGAGGTAAGTACTAACATATGCGCTCGTATTGTATTCCAAACACAAACTCCATCGCCAAAAACACCAGCAACGATCAACTGCAACCTGTGTCCAAAGAGACCATTTTAATTTCAAAACACAATAACCACAGTCACTCTCAAATCCTCTGTTTCATCTGCTGTTCTCAGTCGTTGCTGTATTTTTTATACCGTCCCGCAATTCTTTTGTAGGTCTCCTCTGCTCTCACACAGGGCCGACACATCAGAAAACTTGCCATTAGGGTGCTAAGAAACATGCTCGTTAAACATGAACTTGATGACCGTTATGAAGGAGAGGTGAGTATAGACCTAATGCATGTATTGTAGCCGCTCATAAAGCGGAAAATTTTACGCACCCGCTGGTTCGGTTAAGGGAAACGTTGGCGTTTGCCCAGTGGTTGGCATGCTGTTCTTGAACGAGACACCTCACTCTCACAATATCTCCATCCCCCTCCCGGAAATGGTATTGGATACCGTCAAACTTTCAGGGAAACCTGATGATATGCAGGGTAGGGTGAGGACTTAGAAGGGGGGAATTTACCCGTGGTAGACTAGCATCATATCCGAGAGGTTTATCGGTACTCTATCAGTTACGGCACCCCTCAGAAACCTGGATAAGCCCCAGCGGCTCCAAAGGTCAGTCTCCGTGCAGACTTCGCTTTCCTCTTTCCTTCGTTTGAAAGAACAGAATTTTGACCAACTCTTAAATAACAGAGCTTCTTTATTTTGTGTCCACAGCAAAAGCAAGCCCGTATATGCACGCTTTACCTTCCCCTCCTTTCGGTCCTTTTGGATCACGCACCTCGTTTCCATGGTAGCAAGTATGAATTGTCGAACCCAATCCTCGCGCAGCAAATGTCCCAGACCTCTTCGACGATGACTGTTCCCGGCAGTGAATTTGGTGCAGACTCAAATCGCAGCTCGGCGGCGATAAAGCAGAGTCCGAGTGATTCACTCACTCAGCAGACAGCTGCTCCACTCAGAGAGGCGACTCAGATCGCTCTGCAAGTGCGACTAGATGAGGACGAGACAAAGGAACTCCTTCTATGTGCTTTGTACATCACCAAGAACTTAGAGCAAGGTACGTGAAGTTGGCTCTCTTCGAGTGAGTGGCGTAATAGACACTACAGCTGATTAAGTAAAAGGGAAATACATGGAAAAGAGTAGAGAACTCAAAGTTAACACAACCGTTTTCTATTGCGCAGGCGTGCGAGTTACCAATTTACTTTTGGTTTACGTTTTGCGTCTAAAATTGAATGGTTCAGAGAGTGGCACGGAGCGAAGGGAAAAAGGCAATCTCGGATTACTTGCGACTCTCACTCGAAGACTACCTAATACGTGGTTTTATTCTGTTAGACACTGCTTCCTAGATAATGAATTGCGTTCTACGAGCTTTCACCCTCATGAAGTCTTTTTCGCGTACGGATTTCTGAGAAAACTTGTTCAAACTGCTTGTATGAAAATTTAATTGTCAGCAGCTTCATCTGTGGATAGATGAGCGCGGGGCAAGCTTACTCTTCAGAAATATGCTATCAGGGTGTCGTTTCCACGTCGATAACTCCGAGTCCTTTTTAGCGTATTTTAAATTTCTAGTGTCTCTCGCACGCTTCCAACCCCAAGGTGAAATGATTTTTACTCAGGTGTGATCCTGGACTGGTGGCGCCAGATCTTGTCATCTACCGTCAAACGTCCTCACTGGCACCCTACAGTTCTGTATTTGGTGCAGCAGGACAAGAACTACTGCAAATTCGCCGCCATTATCGATGTATTTGATTTGCTCGAGTAAGTTGTCGCAAAAGTGTTTTTGTTCCTTGATTTTCTATTATTTGTAGTATTGTTGTTATTATTATTATTATTATTATTATTATTATTATTATCATTATTATTATCATCATTATTATTATTATTATTATTATTATTATTATTATTATTTGCAAGAGGTTATAAACGTCAGTTAACTGCGCTTCATCTTGATGTATATTTGCAGACTTGCTTTAAAGCACTTTCAGTACGTTGGAGAGGATAAAATAACTTCTTACAGGTAAAGTGATTTAGGTTTTATTGTTAGAATCGAGGAGAAGCTGGATATCTGACTGACATGCTAACTGACTGACTGACTGACTGGCTAACTGACGGACTTACTGACGGACTGGCGTAATGTCGAATTGACTGATTGATTGACAGACATTTTGACTGACCGAATGACTGACCGATGTAATATTTAACAGTCTTCCCATTCAGTGCGTTGTGGTAGAGTCATAAATGTATGCAACTTTCACATACGTACGTAACTTTCACATACGTACGGATTTACGCCTTTTAACTTGCTAAATTCCTAACTATAAACACTTGTCCGTGCAAAGACTCTCTTTGTAAGGGCTTAACTACGTTAAAGGGAAACCCTCCTTTTACTACGAACGCTCAAAGTTACAAGAGCACTGTCGACGAGTTGAGTTTTAATCTGTTTCCTTATGGTTAGGAAGTTTAAATTTGAACTATTCTTTTAATACAGCTTGAAAATTATTGGCCGTACATAAGAGTTTTCTGTGAGAACCGTGAAGTTTTACAAACCTCTTTCATGAGTGCTTGGCATATGAATTCTTTTTTACGCATGAAAAGAAGTAACGCAGCTTGACAAGGCTACTGAGGAAGGCTTAGATCAAGCGGAAGGGAGATGATCTCGGTTCCATCCATTTTGGAAGAGGTCGATAGTTTTGGTACCTGCGTAACTTGAACTAACAATCCTAAATACAGAATTCTAATTTATGTCTAAAATAAGGTAAATTGTAGACAACACGATTTCAAAAAAGTTAGCGTTCTAATTTTTTGCCATTATCTGTGCTTGTCGCTCCCTTTAAGCCACTCTTTAATGGTGATAGTTCCCCTTCTTGACTAAATGTTAAAAGATATACAATATTAACCTGGTTAATTTTATGCTTTAAACAGGGATTTTGAATATCTTAGAGCGGTATGGCCTCCATTGAGCAACCAAAAGTACGAACGTAACAGCGTATTCACTTATTATAACAAATAATTTATAAAGAACATTGTTAATGTTTAACGTAAATATGACCCTTAAATAAGGCAGTTACCTTAACAGTTCTTCTGTTCGGCTGTTATTTGCAATATAACTAAACAGTAACTTGAACTAAATATTCAGGCTTCTACTTTTTGTGTACTGATCGCATGGAATAATCTTGAGAATGTGGCGAGAACGACGGAATTTGTTCTGCTAACTACTGTGTACGTAAAAAAATATTTCTCTTAACTTTCGATCCGGCAATTTCACATTGACTCTTCATCATGTAATCTTGTTAAAAATATTCATTAACAAGGGGTATTAAAATCCTACACTTGTCTCTTTTTGCATTTCGTAATTCGCTTACTTCAATCGGCATAATTCTTTATTGATGTTGTAGTTGATGGAGGTGGTTGCGTTGTTCTTGTTCCTGATACGTTTTATAGATTGTAGCTTAGTTTATTCTTGTTTGTGTTTGGTTTTTTTTTTTTTTTACTTGTTCCTCTGTCTTTCCGTCGGTCTGTCTTTGTTTCTCGGCTCTTCATCTTCATCTTAAAACAAGCGCGTCTTAGCCTCTGTGGACCCCCCCCGTTTTCCGTGACATGTACAGGTCCAATAATCATCGTGCCATCAATCCTACGCCTTCTTTCAATAATTACATTGTTATTTCAACCGCTTTAGCACGCATAGTGAAAGCACCAAACAGTTCTTTGAGCATAAGTACCAGGGTGGATTCTCTAACCAAGGGAAGACACGACACTCTCGAGCAGCGAGCAGCGGAGGTAAGGATTTCTAAAATTCCTCTGGATGTGTCACTTGCCTGCCAAGAAATAGGTTGTAAGCTAAATTAAATTTCAGTTTCAAGGAATACTAAATAAATTGAATCGATTGATTGAAATCAATTTTTCGTCCCAGGCAATACGATTGCTCTGTGCATGCCGTCTAGGTAAAGCCCTGGATAAACCACGTTTCAATCCATTCTTAAAGGGCAAACTCTTTCTCGGGAAACGATTCGATTGGTTTCAGTTGTTGAAATAACTATTTCCCGTGATTTTGGCCTGACTAGCAATGTTTTTTTTTCTCTGCAACTGTACTTTCAAAGGGTTAACTCTCGATACTCGTGTGCTCATGGAAGGAAATCTTGCCAATGAAGTTGGTCTTATTGTGTTGGACACTATTGAACTGTTTTGTGGTCATTTTAAGGTAAGTGACACTGGACACTGTCTCTAGTAACGAGTAACTCTATGCTCATCTCAGTGCCCATTTCATGAATGATTAATTTCTGAAAATACAAGTGATATCTTTAGGGATGTCATGGATAATCAGGTCTCACTGAAAGGCGTTTTCAATTGAGTGTTGAAAGTAATCGATTATTGCTTTGGTTTTGCCAAACATCGCTTTGTGATTGGTCAAAAAAAAAAAAACCTGCGCCACCTTCTCAACCATCAGATTTAAAACTCCAAGCAACCTCGATCTGGGGACACGTTTTCCCGCGCTTCATGCAGTTCTGCTGTTTTTGATTAGAGTTTTAATTGGCTCATGATGATGTCAATTTTCGCTCCGATTCGCTGTGGTGATAACTGTGTTTTTTGAAATTGAAATGAAAACCGTTCTTATTTACAGCCGAAGAATTTTACATATTTGAGGAGACTACAAAAAGTTACACCTTGCACTTCTAAGTTATTGTCGCGTGTTATTTTGTCATTCACTTATGTAACTGTTATCTAAAGCTGTCATATTTCTTCTTACCAAAACAATTCCGGACTTTTTACAAATACACTTTGAGTATTTTTATGATGAAAATGATTGATCTGTTTTTACAATTAAATTTTATCATGATTTATTTTGTCACTGTTTATTTTTTTAATTCTTTAGTATCACTTGGAGCAGGATGATGGAGATAATTTACTGATGAAGAAGGTACGTGACATTGGGAAAATTCTTCCAAGTCAATAACTTGTAGTAATTTTCATTTTTTTGTTATTTTATTTCTGTTGTCCTTGCTTTAGCATCTTTCCCTTTAGAGGATGAAAACTTTATCTTGGAAACACTTTATCGGTTTAATGTAACCTGGGGAACGTCATGAAAATTTTGCGTCCTCGAAACTTTCCTTAAACTGTATTCCTAGTTAGTTCCCTCCCCCCACCCCCCTCTTATACGTTAATTGTATTTAAAATCACATTGTGTACCCGTCTCTGCCGTTCGAAGGAAGAGAAGGACTGCTTATTGTATTGAATAACAGAGTTCTCATTTGTCGTCTACAAAACATGGCAAAAATTCGATGTTTACAGCTGTTTTCGGTTCTTTACTTCATCACTGCATTAGTTTAATATAGAACTAAGATATGAAACATATAGAGAGCTATTGGAATATCTTTGAGTACCTAAAAGCAACGCAGTGCGTGGTAAAATTTCCTTTTGATTGTTCGTCGCTCTAATTGTCAAAGCCATGTGGCTGTTAGTTGTTACTGTAACAGACAGGTAACAGATTTCCACTTTGTATGCTTATTCCAACAGGTGTTTAACGTGCTGCTAAGCTTTTTACAGATTCCTCAGTCTGAGTTCATGATGAAACACGTGTTTGCAAGTCTTAGATCGTACATCAACAAGGTAACAAATAGACTGATCATCTGAGCACTTTATTATTTCTTTCCATTTTGTAACTGTTAAAACAATATATTCGCAAAGATATGATAGGAAACACTTTTGCGTTAGTGTATGCTTGTGTGATTAATTTCGCCTCTGATTGACAGTGAACATAGTATGCTATTACGTTGCTACTTAGTCTTTCAAGATATTTAGTCCTGATGAAACGGTTCCAGAATTTCAATCCAGCATCACTTAAACGTTGTTAGATGAAAGGTCAGGAATCACTAGTTCTCTCTGGTCTTCTCGGTTGAGCACTATTCAAGATTTCGCGCGAAGTTGAACATTCTGTGATCGGTTAATCTCCCTCCCCATTCCTCCCCTCCCTTCTCTCTTTTCTCTCCCTTCCCTCCCCCGCTCTGTTTTCTTTTGCTCCCAAATCACCTTGCACTTCATGCTCTAGTATTCGTGACATAGTATGGCAAATCTCAACAGTGGAGTGGGCACCTCTCTATCTTATGCTACCGATTTGTAAAACGTTCTTCAATGTTTTCTTGTTTTACTTCAGTTTCCAGCTGCTTTGTACAAGGGAAGCGCTAGCTATTGTGGCGATCTTTGTCGTGAGGTAAATATTTGAGTTTATACGGATCATTTTCCGTTCAATGAAAAATTTTTGCAGTTCTTGTAGCTTGCTTTCCACGGTCATCTTTGTTTTCTATATTTTCATTTGCCGTGTAAATTGTCTCTATGTTATTTATGTCAGTGATGTATCTATCTTTATCTTCCTTGGTTAGATTTTAAGCTGTTGTAACTCAAAAATGGAAAGTCTTCGAAACCAGGTGCGTGGATTACTTAATAACGTCTTGTCACCTGTCAGTCAAAACCCGGCTAAAACGACCTTTGGAAATCTCTATATAGCAGGGATATAATTGATGTATTGTTGTGCAATAAAATTTGTTGTCAAATATTCAAACTCAGACCAAACCTAAATCAGTTGTCGCCTAACTCCTCGACGATTATTTCCCGTCGACAGGAAGATATAGGTTCACTTATCGATCCCCTTCTTTGAAAAGATTTCTCTCGGTTGTATCTCGCTCAATTTATTGATCAAACGCCGGGAGAAGGATAAATTGCTTTTCGATAAACGGAACGAAATAAGCATGTGACCTGTGAGAAAGATGCGTTTGTTGCCTTTTACCATGACTTTTAACACTGGTTGACAATCACTGGTTACGAAAAAACCTTGGTTCGGATATCGTGGAAGTGACTACAGTGTAAGAAACGGTGTCATTATCGCGCCATGACATGAGTGGTGTGTTTCTACAACGACATGTCGCCGTCTTTCTATCGACAATATTACCTTTTGCAACTGTATGTGTTTTGCACGAGAGAATTCTGTTCGTGGTTTTTTTCGGGAGAAGATTGTTAATTTGCAATTGTTTAACGGCAACTTTTTATCTGAAGGAAAAAGAAAACGGTGACCTACACGGGCCATTTTCCATCACCCATAGATAGAATTATGATTAGTCAGCTGCCTGATAGCAATTGCTAATCTCTTTAGTTATACAATGTTCATTCGAAATTGTAGTTCCGTTGCTAGAAAATAGATCCCCAGATTATTTCCACTCCTGTTTTGCATGCAAGAAATGATTTTATAATGTTTTTGTAGTTTTTGTTTTGATGGCTCATTCTTGATGTCTTACTAAGAGGAATGTGTTTTCTATTTGCAGGCCTGTTCGTTTCTCTACCTGTTGATGCGAAGTAATTTTGAATTCAGTGGAGGACAAGGTTGTGATCGAGTCCACTGGCAGGTATAATCACATGATTAGAGAAATAGTAGAGATTTTTTACAACCAACATTATGCGAACGGCAAATAATAAAAATGGACTTAAGTTTTCCTGTCTTCATCTCAGCCTCTTGTGCACTAAGGCGTTAACATTTATATCCGTTGTGAATTAAAAATTTTGTTTTCTTCTATTGAATTGGATCTTTTTAAGGATCTACGTGAAATTCGCTACTCCTGTTTTCACTAAAAGTGGTTTTTATCTCCCTGTGGACTCGCACGATTACTATTTTGGCCTGTGGTGGCAGATTACATCCGTTTTTTATGTGAAATTTTATTCTCTTTAGAGTCAGAAAAATCACGTCTTTTCGGCGCAATTTCCCGTGAATTAACCTATGAAGTGTCGAAAGGCTCCTTGTAGTCGACATGAATGTGGAAAAAAAAAACGCTGCTGTCTCTTCGTTATGCTTGGTTTTTAAATCAGAATCCGCCCGTATTTGACAATCCAAGAAAATTTTTTCAAGGCGCTAATCTAGTATTTGTGCTATTCCCTGCACCATTGGTGGCGGAACTGTTAAACTTACTTAAAGTTTTCATTACGCGAAAACGTGATGTACCCTCAAATAAGAAATATAATTTTAAAGTTCTATTTTATAGTTTTGAATTAGTTATGACACCTTTTCACTGTAAAGCTCGTCTGATCAATTTATCAAAAAAAAAGAAAATATTCCCAAATGTCAATGAATTATTTTAATTTGAAATTTCAACTAACCATCCTTTTATGCCTTGGAAAAATGAAAAATACAAATAAATGAATTGAGCACTTAATGAAAAACCTGCCTTGAAAATGAAATGTTGTACTTCATGTGTAAATGAAGTTCCTCTCGCCTTGCTTGTCCCTCAAGTTTGGCTTGTATTTCGCTTAACTCTGCCTTAAATATCTTGTGGATACCAAAATGTTTTTGTACCTTTCGTTAGAACCAGTTTTTCATATATCAGAAATTATTCATATCGCAGGCCACTTGCGGTTATAATTCAGTTGAGAATTAACATTTCTCCTTATCGCCAACACAGGTGATAACCAAATGGTAATTTTTTGCTGTCATACTTTCACAATTGCCTTGTTCAAGGGATTAAAATTTGTTTTTCATATTTTAATCCTTACGCGTATGTGATCATGTACAAGGATATATTTTGAATAGGGGTCCAAATCCCTTCCTTTATATTAGTAGCTTTTCCTGGTAATTTCGTTCAATGAATTTTAGCGCAACCAATTTCTAATTACCAATACTTCATCCTCAAAGTCGTTCAGTTTCAAATCACATAAATGACAGTTTTTAAATAAAAAAAAATTGTTTTATATGCAGTCTACGGTTCTAAAATATATTTGTACTGTGGATTAACAGAGCATGGTAGTTTGAAGCCGAAAGTGTTGAAATTAGGTAATCAGAACCAACACAAATGCCTAGACAACGATAATTTGCAAACTAAAACTCCTTTCGACAAAAAGGTACGTGTGTGATTATCATCTTTGGTCGCTTCATGGCTCAATCTCTTTTTGAATAGAACGGATGGCATATCCTCCAGAAGTCGGTAAAATGAGTTGCTAGTTAAGCGAAGGGAGGAATACGCCTAGCGATGCGTTTAAGTATCTTGCTCATCCATCCGTGTGTTGGTTCTCATTCGTATGAGCGTTCATTTCGCTAACACAACATGAATGTTATTTTTCTCCAGAGCAGTTCTGGTTGTGTTGGGGTGTAACACCCAGTTGAATTAACCCTAGACTGAAATAGACAGGAACGCATTAGCGCTAGATGTCGTAAAGAAAATATCAGTCACATTTAGAGTTAACATTTTTCGCCGAGAATTTTCCTATATCTTGGCGTGTTTCGTCTTTGTTGTTACTATTATTCGCTCAGTCTTTAAACACTCCCATAAAAATTTTTCCGAACCTGAATCTTAGAGTGGCTGCATTTCCTATATTTTGTGGAATAATCATCGAATCGTAGACAAAACATGCCTACAGACGCAATGAAAATTGGTTTTATGATTCTCCATTTGCATGCACTAAGGTACAATCAATCTATCGTTGAGAATCATAAGTCGCGGTCTTGTCGAACATGGACGACACCAAGCTAAGATCAAATATTTCACGATCATTTAATATCAGCTGGACAATGTTTTTTCGCAGTTTTTTACATCGAGCAAGGCTACATTTACTTTTCCGATTGTAGTGTACCAATGAGTTATTTAAATAATTAAAGTTGTTTTTCATCTTTTCGTTTTTCGCTAGGTAATCGTAGCGGTCTCCAAGTTGATGGCGATCGGGTTAAACCGTTCAGCTGTAAACAACTCTCTTCTGGCGCTAAAGAATTATGCTGTAGAAGACAAAGGAATGAAGGTAACTTTTTCTTGTTTGTTTGTTTTTTTTTTTTTTTTTTTTAACTTGAGTCTTGTTGGGCTGTAAACGTAAATAAATGAATCAATTATTCAATCAGTCAATGAAATTGCGTCAGTCCGACTTTCAGCCAAGCAGAAAGTCTTTCATGGACTTATCTTACACAGTTGAGACGGCGAAATACTGCACTTGGCTCGTTTTCTTTGGTTCGTTTTTGCCCTTGTTTTTTTTTCTTTTGTTATTTTTTTAATAGACCTCGAAATCGTTTCGGTCTGAAAGCCCGCGGTAAAGGGTCAATTATCCAATTGTGCAGGCTGTTCAGAGCTGGGTTAAGATAACTCAGGGTTAGTGTGAAATCTGAAATCAGATCTGAAAGCTTTAAAAGAAATTCAGTATAGTTCTTTTTTTTTCTACAATTTGAGGATTGGCTTTTTTAAAAAGAATAGAGAAAATTATCTGAAAAAGGCTATCGAAAAGAAAAGGAAAAAAGAAACCTGGCTGAAAAAATGTAATCCTGGGTTATTGGCCTTCGAGCAACTGGGCCCTTGGTTTGTTCGGCAAACGCAGTCTCTTTTTATAGAGGAATTGGTTGAAGTGGTTGCCAACTCAGATGTGAGGGAACATGTACTGAGTACAAATGCTTTTATCGAGTTTGATCAGTCTTTTCGCAAATTTTATTACGGTAAATTTGGTGATCGGCCGCGGTTGTTAGTTAATCTACCTGTTCTCACACCCTGAGTCTTGATGGATAACACTTTGTACTGTTTTGTCGAAATTGTGTCATTTTTTCTATCTGCTTGTCATTCCTTTAAAAGCATACGGCTTTTCCCGCTGAGGTGAAAGATCTAACGAAGAAGATTCACACCGTTTTGCAGGCGACTGCACAAATGAAGGTATGCGTGCTTAAATTATAGTTGCTCAGCATGTAGGTTTGGTTTTGTTTACCTAGTCTCCTAAAGGTCTAGGCACAAGGTAAGCCTTTTTTGTTACATTTTTTTAGGGTGTTCTGACCGTTAATCTGTAAGGACAACGCTCGCGCCTTTTAATAGGAATCTAGTGAGATTTGGCCGATGGGGTTGACTTTCCATGAAGAGAGTTGGGTCATTATATTTCTCACAAACATTTTGATGCCGAAGAAGGATAGTAAATATACCCAAAGTGTAGACGATTTGTTTACTATTGTAACTACGGTTAAAAAGAATTGCCCTTGAGAACAATTTCAGTTTAGTTCAAGTTGCGGAACTACCCGGGATTGCAGTGGTTTTGTTTTATTTTCAATGTTACGGTTCCAGAAAACTTGCGCCACTTTCTCAGTCGTGAGGCACTGAGGTTTTAGTCGTTCGTGTCTTTCTTTCCAGACGGAATTGTCGTGAAAGAATGTCAGGTGTTATCAAGAGCGAACTTGATGCTATTTGCATCTGATTTAATTCTTGACTGGCAGAACGTTTGTAATATGTATTTTGATTTGCAAAGGCGAACCTTTCGTTGATTTATCGTAGCCCTCGGGGGTTATCACTTTTTTTCCAATGAGCACGCCACTCTGATCATTTTAAGTGCTGTCACGTTTCATTTTTTTCACGAAGGAGCTTCATTATGGAGAAACAAAACGTACTAAATGCCTGTAATACGTTTTGAGCGACAGTGTAGTAGTTCAGGTTAAATTTGTTGTCTCTCGCCTTTTGGAACGTGTAATAGAATTAGGCATTATTCCATTTGGGTTGAATAAGCAAGAAATCAAATCACTTAATTTCATTCGGTTCTTAGAGACCGAAAGCCATGGGCGAGAAAGTAAGTTAGTGACGCTCCTAACCGTTTATTTTAACCGGCCAAAATATTTTTGATCTTGTATAATTTTAGCACGCACTATTATTTTTTTGTTGCGTGTCTGATCAGTAATTCAGACCATTAGCAAGTTCCAGCGAATGCACGGTACTATTAAACGAACTATAGTGTTTATCACTGAGTCAGACGATCGCGAGCAGTGGCCCTGATTTATATGGATAAATCAGTTGGCGACACAGCACATCAGGAAATTAAAGATCGCTTTCGATTTGTTGGATACACTTGACCTTTGCACGTGATAGAACTATGTTTACAAAGACAGGAAATTCGTTTCATCGATAAAATATCCTTGACGAAGGGCGTTTAGTATTTGCGAAGACCAAGTTTTCGCCATCGCGAACTTTACTGACAGTTTTGCTCTAAGACGGTGCCATACAGAACTATAATAGTGATTCCTTTGGAATTTTTTTCAAATCCTAACCGCCTTCTGAAACGGTTCGAAGCGCCACTGTGAGCAAATAGATGGCTTTGCGAGTATTCTCCGACGAGGAAGTAAAACACGAGCCATATTTGAAAAATAGAAAGTTGTGCGTGAAGAAAAAAGAAAGTTTACATGCCATTGAGGAGTTCGCCGCACAGCAGTTGGTTTTCCTCCCTATTTTGAGCTCTCCCACACCTCTGAGCGCAGCGACGATTAACCGAAAATTCTTTTTGGTACATTTCGTGTTCTGTGTAGTGTCTTTTCAATGGATATAATTTTTCTATATTTACATTTTAGATCAATTTTGTTTAACCTCCTCTGAACAAGTTTAAATTGAAGGGGAAAGAACTACAGAATTGAAAACAACTCGACATTCTCTAGAGTTTGAGTGCTTTTATTTCCCAAATATTGTCGGCGCTTGCATGTCAGCATATCGCCCGCCTGGAGCAATAGCACACCTTGTTGATGATATTTGTGTGATTTCCTGTCTGTACAACTTTAGTAACTTTTTTTCTGAGGGAAATAGAGTTGGTTTGAACAGCCTTACTGGTGGCTTCCTGTAGATCGTCGTTGTAGATCTTTGCCATATTTCGCACGTAATTGATTATAATTTCACTTCGTTTTGTAGGAACACGATGACATCCCAGAAGTCCTTGTTGACCTTCAATACAGTTTGGCCAAGTCTTACTCCAGCACGCCAGAATTGAGAGAGACCTGGTTAGAGCACATGGCAGGCGTGCATGAGAGTCATGAAAATTACTCAGAGGTTTGTTTTGCGTGCGTGACGTAACGTGAAATATGCCCACGTTTTGCGTGATCTGATGGATTATCAGACGAGTGATAATGCGTGAGTGTGCTTGAAATTTTCGTAAATAAAGTAGGAAACTGAGTAGAAGGGGATGTTTATCTAGTCATCAACGGCTCCTTTGAAGACTTCTTAGCCCAGAGGCTTGAAACGCCCTGTTTTCAATCGGCCCACCTGTTGAAAAACGAGTCTTTTTTAACCTGAAAATTCAAACACAACGAGCCGTGATCGATTTAGATTGCGTTGTATTTAGTTCTTTATGAAGGCAGTAGAGTGTAACAATGCCATGATATGATTTTTTTTTAGACTGCCCACTGTTACATTCACGCAGCAGCGCTGGTCGCTGAATATTTAAAACGACAAGGTGAGCTGTAAGGCCGTGATTTAAACATAAACAATCGATTAATCGTAAAAATGGTGTGGCTTTTCGATGCTTCTCGGCTGGCGGCTTTTGAATAAAGATTCTCTATTAAATCACACTGGAACGTAATGAGATTCAGATATGGTTTCAAACGTCTCGCAGACCAAGGCAGACACTTAATGACATCCATTTATCATTTGCCTTTTTCAGTTTTTCTCTCTTTCCGTTGAGAGAGTCAAAGTGTATATGGTTGTGAACAGTTGCCGCAAAAAAAGGAATTTATGACGGTGGAAATGGCAAGCTGCGACATAATTCGAATGCAAAGTGGGAAATTTTACAGACATAATATCTTTAGTGAATTTCATATCTCCTTCTCTCTTCGCGTTTATCTCAGGTGTTTATCGCGAAGGTTGCGCGGCGTTTTCCAACGTGTCACCCAATGTGGTAGCGGACGAAAGTGTAATGAAAACTGACGAAGGGATGACTAAGGAGCAGAAGTACACAAAGGTAGGCTTTTTTTTCATCGATATCTTAGTAAATTTGAGATATTTCTTTGCTCAGGTCAAATGATGTTACTGACCTAGGTGAATGAATATTCCTCTTCGTATGAGTGGGCCACTCTTGAACCTCCCGACTCATCAATTATTGAAGTGACCAAGTGATAAACAAAAAGCTGTTTCTGGTGAATTTTCCTGTCGGTCGTTAACTATTAAAAATCACGTGGAAACTATTTAGAAATCGAGATAAGCTATAGTCTGTTGAAAGCTAGATACACTGTAATCTAAAATCAGGCTTCATGTTCCTCAAGAATATTGACCCACGAATTTTAAGATTTTTTTTCTTCTAAAGGGGATGGTTTGCGATCTAGGTTTCTAGTGATATGGGGTGAGAGCTCTGTCCAGATTAAGGTAATGATCCTGAAACCTCACTAGAGCGAATAAACTGTTCCCACCGCTCTAACTGTGACTTTCTCGCTGTTCACAATGTTCTCACTTGAATGGAGCTGGCAGGATCAAATTTTCCTTATTTACAGCCATCCATATTTAACTTCTTCTTCTAATTGTGTTTGTAATGTGAAGTGGTTTTGAGGAGTTCACTCTAACTGATGTTCTTTCATTAGCGGCACTTGGTGGATTTGTTGGAGCAATGTGCGAAATTTCTTGAACGCGCAGAAAGATATGAAGTCATGGGCGAGGTGTTCAAATTGGCAATACCAATATACGAGCAGGAGAGAGACTTCCTGGTGAGTGACTTAAAGGGGGCCTTTGACTGCTTCTTTTTAAGCAAAAACGTCCACAAAAACTGAAAAGAGGAATAACTGACCGCCTTATCTTAGTACCAGGATGATCTAAATCACAAGCATGCATCTGAACGAGGCGATTGAAAACTGCTCATACCAAACTACGAAGAACTCTAATTATTCATTTTTTTTTTCTCCCAAACCTCAGAGGCTTTCCAATGCTTACGACAGCTTAGCTAAAGCGTACAAGAAGGTAGTGGAAGTAATGAAATCCGGCCGAAGGCTTCTTGGAAAATACTTCAGAGTTGCTTTCTTCGGACAGGTAAATGGTGCAATTTTCAGCTTATTTAAATAGATCCCGTAATTTGTATGGAGAAAAATAGGTTATTGCAGCACATAAAGTTCTGGTAACTAGTAGCTTTTCTAGACGTGATGCTTGCCGAAAGTAAAATGTGCGTTCAATACGGTGAGTTGTCGGCTCTAAGCCATTCGCTCTACGCTTTCCACTCGCACATTATGCTTCAATATTAGAGGACACAGAACTGAGGTCATTACAACGCTCGTTGAGAAATTAAGAGCGCTGGAAACCGACAAAGTCAAGACTAACTAAACGTCTTTCCCTTTGTTTTTCAGATGTTCGGCGACGACGATGGCAAGGAATTCATTTATAAAGAACCTAAAATCACAGGGTTAGCGGAGATTTCTCAACGATTGGAAGCCATGTACTCTAGAAAACACGGCAGAGACAGTGTTAAACTCATCATGGAGTCTGCAAAGGTAACTGATGCAAATGATTATTATTGAATTATTTAACAATATTTATTCGTGGGTGGTTGCTCGCACCAAGCCCGGCTGTGCCACTTCTTCAATTTCCCTCACATTCTGTTGGCCGTGATATTAATTTCATCAGACTGCAATCCTTGCTTTTGTAGTTGCTTTTGCCATTGTCAACGCTATTTCTACATTTTTCTCCAGAACTGTCTCAGTTTTTCAGTCAATATCAAAAATTAACCAGTGATTTTACCTCCTAGGTTCATCGTGAAACGTTAGATTCAAAACTGGGCCACATTCAGGTATTATTTTTGTGTAAAAGAGAGTGTTTTGGAAAAGATAGGCTGTATTCTCAAGCGTTAGAACCGTTGATTTATACCACTTTTCATACGCAAAAACCGTAACAAGACTGAGCATTTATTTCTCTTATCGCCACATGGTCTTACAAGTCTCAGGTCTCTAGAATGTGAGTTCGCGATACGCTTAAGCGGTACTCTTGATACTTATTGTAACAAATCACCAAAGGCGATTTTCACATTAAATTGATAATTTCTTACCAGGCTGCACTGCTCCTTGGCAGTCCATCAAACCAAATGTTTGTCTTTTATAGATAGCAAAGTTTAGAGGAATCTATGTTTTTCTTGTTGTTGTTGTTGTGTCTTTTTCAATTTCAGGCCTAAAGTTGCATGGAAATCTTCTTAGTTGAAATTGATTTCAGCTCGATTCCTAGTCGAGATCCTGAGATTTCGTTTCGTTTCGTTAAAAACATTTTACCGGTGTTAATGATGTATTCACTGCTATAAATATATTTTTAATATGCTAATGGCTTTATCCCAGCCCGCTTGCATTAAAAAAATGTTTTTGGAAGTTTTGACTTTCGAAAGCCGCTTCGCAGTGGAAATGAGGTTGAAAATGCATCAAGAGATGATCTTTCTTGAAGTTATCTAAAGAAATTTCTTCAAGGTTTATCAATATTTTTTGTGTGGTCCTTGAAACCATTCCCTGCAGATTACCTATGTGCAGCCCTATTTTGATGACGAAGAACTTGAACTAAGGCCGACCATATTTGAACGAAACAATAACATCAGACGGTTTATATACGAGACGCCGTTTACGGTCAGCGGTAAAGCTCACGGAAACCTTAAAGAGCAGTGCAAGAGGAAGACCATCTTAACAAGTAAGTTTGGAACGAAATTTTTGTCTCTTTATCGTAAGAAACACTGAACTTTAACGTCATTTTTCAAGTAGGGGATTACCCTAGATCATTGTTCTAAACGTTGCTGAAAGTGCTCCTCGCTTCAAAGATTTTTAAGGTGGACGTAACGAGTTCGTTCAAATGTACTTATTTATGTTTTAGCGTCCAATACTTTTCCTTATGTGAAGAAGCGAATCCTTGTTGTTCAAGAGGAACAGTATGAACTGACTCCAGTTGAGGTAAGGTAGTCTTCTATCGCAAAAAAAACTGCTTTAATCGTTGTTTTGCAAGTAACCTGCGTCTAGAGACTGATCTTTAGGATGAATGTAGATTTATAATGGTTGCTCTTGACCTATGTTTTCCCGTTTTTTGTTTTGGTTTTTTTGTTTGTTTTTCTCTTGTTTGTTGTTGTTTTTGTTTTTTTAATTTTTGTTAGTTCATAGATTTAAGTGAAGCTTGTTTTCAAATATTCCGTACTCCTTAAATGTCAGGTGGCGTTCGATGAGATGCAAAACAAAGTTAAAGAACTCAATAACGTGATTGCACAGAATCCTCCGGACATGAAGAAACTTCAGCTAGTCTTACAAGGCAGTATTAGTGTTCAGGTATGAAACTATCACGCAGTATACAACGTCTTCATTTAAGTTAGCACAGGACAGTTAAGCTCTAGGCAAGGTTTCCTTGTGCTTTGGTGAAATCGTTAAGGGTCTTATTATCAAAAATGTAATGATTTTATTTTTTTACAGGTGAATGCAGGTCCCCTGGCGTACGCTCATGCCTTTCTTGACAAGTCTGTTTTGGCCTCACATCCTCATAAACACATTGAGATGCTTCAGCAAGTTTACAGGGAGTTTATCGGTTGTTGTGGAAAAGCTTTGGAACAAAATGATCAGTTGATCAAGGAAGATCAACGAATGTATCAAGAAGACATGAAAGAAAAGTACGCTCAGCTGAGGACACAGTTGGCCAAGTATATTGGAGATGAGGTGTGTTAGCTGGCAAATTTCTTGATTTTTAAGTTGAGTCGTAATTTTTTCCTTCTGAAATTTTCCTTTTGGTTTTGATTGTACGACCGCTCCATTGGAAGCCCTCGAAACACTGAGTGGGGAACGTCCATTATAATCATATTTGTAAGTTACTTAAAACGCATTGCACAGTTCTGAATTCTCTCGTAATTTGTGGTTTTAACATTCGTTTGGTCTCCAACGCCGTTTTTCTTCTTTTCGTCTGCTGCTCGGTCATTTAGTGAGCCAATCGTACAAGCCTGTCAGCCTGCTTGTAAGTTAGCGAGTCAGCTTTTCGGACAGTTAGAAAATCTGTCAGCCTTCTAGGCAGTCGAGGTCAAATCCTATTATCCAGTTCATGAACCAGTCAACCTAGCAGAAAATCACTCAGTAAGTCGTCAGTCTCCCAGACAGTCACATAGCCGGTCAGTCAGCTTGTCAGTCAGTCAAAGTCAAAGTCCCGTTATCCAAATGATGGGCCAGTCAGCCAGACTGTCCTCTAGCTGGTGGCAAAGCCAGCCAGCTGGCTAGGCAGTCAGGGAGGGAATCAGCTCGCCACTTAGCTGATCAATTTGGAATCAGTTATCAGACGTCCTTTTACTGTTTATGTTAGGTGATCACAACAGTAACCTCGTCCAGCAGCTTGTCTTCACTTGGATGAGAGGTGGGCCAATGAGACTGAGAAGCAATTCATGTTACGTGAACACGTTGGCTTGGTCGACTTAATAGCGGAGAAGGATGCATTTCCGGGTTGTAGAAGAAACCACATTAGTATCACGCTCCTCGCAAATGTTTGATGTCGTTCATTTGAACCGTTTTGCTGCGGTTATAAATTATTTATGTTACGCCTTAAGATTCCACAAAATAGGGATTTAGAAGAAACTTGATTTGAAAAGTTATATTTGATTGATAGTCAAGAGAGTTGTTGAAAGAAATTACTTGAAAATTAAAGTAGGAAAAACTCTTTTTATAATTTCACCCTAAGAACTGAAAAGGTAAATAGTGTTTGTGAAAAGGAAAGATAGTTCATTACTTTAGTGGAAGCTTAAGTCTTTACAGCGAGGCACGGCAAGAAATTCACAAGTGAAGAAAAAAAAATTCGAATTGTTTGCCATTAAAATATTCTGGTTTCATTACCAAAATTTTGTGGACCCTATAGTTAAGCTCGTTCGTTTCCAATGAGTTCTGCTACAGGAAGTATCATAATGTTAACCATAGTTTTAAGAACAAAGCAGATGTTAACATAGAATAAAGGATACTTAATGATACATTTTTTGCCTTCTTTAAATCCAAAATGAACATTATTGAGAATATTTTATGAATTAATATTCACTGAAAAAATTTTTAGTTGTTAGAATTATTTTTAAGGTTATTTTCGTATTTTTTCTTACCCACGATAGGCCTAATATTTCCGTTATCTCTCTGTTTTGCTTTGTTTTGTATATGTATGTGTGTTGTTGTAGTTGTTGTTTGTTTGTTTGTCTGTCTTGTTTTCGGGGGGCGGGGGGGGGGGACGAAGAGGGTGGGGTAAGAAATGGGGGGGGGAATAGAAGAAGAAAGTCGAAAAAGAGAGCAAATAGGTTATCCGCTCAAAACAAGTACAGTCGAACCTTGATTATCCAGACCTCAATAATCCGGATTTCTCGATTATCCGGACTTTTTCTCTGGTCCCAATTTTGTCATGAATATTTATTAGTCATGATCGAGATCCGTCGCCATAGTCTTTTTAAAAGTACAGCGTTGAAAAGCGAGGTAAAGGCGAGTTTGTTTCGCTTTGAAAAGGCAAAAGCAGCACTCGCATGTGTCGTAACTGATGAAGAACATTCGAATGAGGTCTAATTAGCTTTTATATTCATATTCTCGATAATCCGGGCTCTTTCGTCTAGTCTCAACGAGTCCGGATAATCGAGGTTCGACTGTACAACTATAATATTATGCATAGTGAATTACTTTCTAAATATGAACTTGACTTTTACTTAAGAGTTTCATGTAATAAGAGATAGAAGCATTTAGTTTTTTATAAGAATTCAATTGATAGAACTTGGAAATGAAATAAGTTTATACAATAGATGAAAGTTCATTAAGGACAGCAAGAAAGTAGTTTTGAATTTTTTTCAAAATTTTTTTAATGTTCTCTTGTTTATTATATCTGGTCTCAATACTGAATCTTTCCTGTCTATTTTGTAGAGTCGTTTTGTAAACATTTGCCCTCTCACTTACAACCTCGACTGAAACAGCTTCTTGTCACTAGTGGCCTCTTACAGATAGGAAATATCGATGTACATTTCTTTGAGATGGAAAGTAGTACGACAATAAAATATTACGTCGATGTCTGGGCAATTATGTTTTACTTTTATTATGACCTTGCTGAGCTACCCAAGACATCGTGGGTGAATGTCCATTAGATGATTTATAATTGAATCACCTCCTGTTGTGGAGCAGGGTACGCATAAATACGTGGGATGCGGCAGGTTTTCTGTTGTACATGTGAGACAACTATTCCGTAGCACTACCCTCTAGCGTCATTCTTTCCAATGCTATAATAATTGTGCTATATTAGAAGCCACATGCAGTCTTTGTCTATTTTTTCAAAATGATAACGTTGTATTTGGCCCATGCACTCAAGATGGTTTCGAACAAAAAAACAAGGAATAACCTTACCTGCTAAGTTTGTATATTTGTCCTGAATGGTTTCAATTTCCTGTCTATTTTGTTTTAGTTTGTATGTGTGTGTGTGTGTGTGTGTTTTAAATATTCCTCATGAAGGGTTTTTAATTAAAACCTTAGCGGTGCAGCTCAAAATGATGACATTGATTACTGCCGACTTCAGTTCAAATTTTGTGTCAACTACACTTTACTTCCTTTTTCAGTTCATGAACTGAATTGAATTCAATGAACCAGATCTTCAATTTTTTAATGTTACAACGTATGTTAAATGATAAAATTACAATTAATCTCCAATATCGTAAGGGTTTCCTGTATTGGTGTCGGAAAGAAAAGGAATGTAAATATTATATTATTTTAAGTCATTTAATGTAAGTTATAAAAAGGGCAGGTTGACTACTTCGTATTCCTTCTTGGTGTTCTTATCTTAGAGGTTGAGTTTGATCACGTTCTTCTTGTGAGTTTGGCCACGTTCTCCTAGTGAGTTTAATCACGTTTTCTTCGTTGTGATCGTGAGGTTGACATGGAATTTGTGATAAGGCATGTTCTTAAATAAGTTAATTTGTTAGTCCAGGAAGAGTAAATCTCCCTGGTAATAGGTCGCGTTCGACACCTTCGTCTTCCCAGAGGTAATTTAAGGGTAAACAGGTGATACGCCTCATGTTTCGCAACAAGAAGCAATTTGGGGGCGGTACTTGTAAGCGCCTTTCTTCTTTAACTCTTGTGACCAAGATGTTGTTATGTAACAATCTTTAAAGGTGATTTTCTCTCAAGATACCCTTTCAGGTATATATAATACTCTGAACCAAGGTTATTTGTAATTTTCATATTGTCGATCTCGTTTCTGTTCTGGCCGATCTCAAGTTATTTTGTAACTGCTTAAACAACCCTAAGGCGCATACTCAGTGTGTGGGAACTATAATTCGTAGTCACAAGACGACACAAGTAGATTGACGGCTTAGAAATGTCATCCGCAGTGTCACCTTTATAAGAGGAGACTCTAGTTTTCCCTGTCATATTGGAGTTAGTCACCGTTGAAACAACTTGAGAAGAAAAGAAATTAAAGAAGAGTCAACCAAACCAACAACGAGTGTTAGAGAATTTACTTCTAACACGTAGTTGCTCAATGGAATCGATTCCTGATGAGGTACTGACTTGGTTCTGGTGGGGTAAGTCGTGTCTGAACTCCCTTTATTTAAGCTGAAGGCAGTATTCTTGGGCACTTTAAATCCCTATATGCTGTATTTGCCTGAGTTCATGGAGCCCTCCCTCAAACCGTCAGACCTCTACGACAGGCTTGTGGGTTTTCTACCATAGTATTACTTACTGATAATTTAACGTTCTCTTTTAACTCAGAAAGTAAGCGTAGAATGTTTCTTAATGCAGGCAAAAGCTTTCCATTTTGGCTTCAGCTGCATCGAAGAGACAGTGACTGTGGTGCTTGAAACCACAATATTCACCTTGGTAAGGGTTCTTTCACTATTTGGTTACCTCATTGTCTGTTACAACGCAAACCCTTGGATGGCTTAGAATTCAACCCAGGTGAATTTTGTTGAGGCGTGTCTGTCTGTTTTAGATATTTCTTAGCGAGAAGGATTTTAATCAATAAACCCAGTGGTAGAGCTAGAGAATTGATATTTAAGAGCTAATGTCAGCATGCATCAAACAAACAGCGGTAAGTCACCCAAATTGGTTTTCCCTCCTACTTTGATATTTTGAAATGACTTATGCCAATTAGCGGTGGCGACAAGTAGGCGCACCATGTACATTTCATAGTCGCTATCAAGCAAATTTTACCGGAGTTTGAGTTCGTCTCAAGAAAGAACAACACAAAAACACAAGGAAATTTTTACATTAACTTTATAACCAACCTTTGGTCTTTTAAAAGCTTGAAGCTCAGTAGAAACCCTTGAATGGCTTAGAATTCAACCCAGGCGAATTTTGTTGAGGCGTGTTTGTCTGTTTTAGATATTTCTTAGCGAGAAGGATTTTTATCAATTAACCCAGTGGTATAGCTAGAGATAAAATTGATATTTAAGAGCTAATGTCAGCATGCATTAAACAAACAGCGGCAAGTCACCCAAATTGGTTTTCCCTCCTACTTTTATTTTTTGTAATGACTTCTGCCAATTAACGGTGGCGACAAGTAGGCGCACCATGTACATTTCATAGTCGCTATCAAGTAAATTTTACCGGACTTTGAGTTCGTCTCAAGAAAGAACAAAACAAATACACAAGGAAATTTTTACATTAACTTTATAACCATCCTTTGGTGTTTTAAAAGCTTGAAGCTCAGTAGATTGTGTCATATCGGTCATTGTTAAAACTGTCTTTGTTTTGATGTAATATTCACGGTGAAAATTTGCATATTTGAGCGGTCGAACGAAAAAAGTCATTTCTCGAAAACTAAAATATATTTTCGCAAAAAACCTACACCACAATTATAAGAACATATTGGGCTACAAAATATGAAAGTAGGAGAGAAAACGAATTTTGGGCGACTTGCTACAATATTTCAAATTTGTTCGATGGATGCTGACATCCCCTCTTAATAACATCTCCATTTATTGACATACATGTTCCATTCCAGGTTGATTTAAACTGCGCTCTAATACAATTTATTTCAATTAATTCATTCTACCCTTAGGCTTTTGACTTCAGTGAATCAACTCCTAAACTGTCATGCCACAATACGATTGGTTGATGGAAATGAACTCTGATGAGCTTTTTTCATTCTGAGGTCCGTTCATTTAATCTTCATACAAAATTTTTTACTATATCTGAGGTCTAAGGTGAATTTCTGAGGTTTGTTCTTTATTGCGTTAACTAGGACTGAGTACA